TGCAACATTTTTTCACAATACACGGTAAATTTAACATTTTTTAAAAGCCGATGATTAGCACAAATCATACAAATTTATGACACTCAGTGGCTTATTAACAAAGACACTTATAAAATAATACATAAAAAATAGCCTAGACTCTGTGGACGCTAAATCCAGGTAGACAAATGTCGCTTGATGATTAATCGACAGTCGAACAAATGGCAAACACAACAAAGAACTGGATATACAAAAAAAAAACAGCCTTCTAATTATCTGAAATAAAATTTGCAAATTTAGCTCTTTTGTTCGTTTGCATCTGGCTGAAGATTTTGGGTATTTTTGAGTACTGCAGCTTCACCATCGACTGGCTCTGCACTTCGTTTAATAGTGGGCCGATTTTCTGGATCCAAGGGATCAGGTAGAAGAAGACCTGCAAAAAAAACGAAACTCCTCATAAACAACGAAATTCCTTATAAAATTCATGATTTACGGATTACAAAAAAATTACAAAAAACAATAAGTACTGTGAAAAACATACGGGATACGCGAAAATCAAGCTTTATATTGGTTTATGAGAGCAAAAAACCTATCACAATACCTGATTTTGACTCAAAGAATGTATAGTTCAATAGTAATTGTTCAGTGTACTCCAGATCAGGATCATTCACATACTCTGGATCGATATAAAAGAAAACCGGTAAATCCACCTGTTCACCAGGGTTAAGGATTTGATCCTCAAAACAAAAACACTGGATTTTGTTGAAATAATAAGCTGCCTGCAAAAGAATGAAATAAGAAAAAAGTTAAAGCGTTACTGTACAAGCGAAGAGTAGCTAGGCAAACTAAAATAAATGGTCAGCGCACCGACTGCTGTGCAAAGATGCGTTTTTGCATGGTTCCCTGCAGGTTTTTATCACTGACGGCATTGTTTTTTCCCAGCAGATGCTTGTAGCAAAAAGAATTGAACCTAACCGCCAGGACTATCAGGAAACATCCTCTTAAAATTTAGCTTTCTAGCTTTTCTGGTTCCCGAGTCAGCAACTTACCCGCAAAAAATTTTCACTGCTTCGTACATAAGAATCATGTGCAATTGAGGAAGAAGCTTGAAGTCATTAAGTTCTACATGGATCGGAAACATTCCTTTAAAATTTAGCTTTCTAGCTTTCTCGGTTCCTGAGTTAGCAATTTGCCCGCAAAAAACTTTCACGGGCCTGCATGTGAGAAAAACGTATACCTGGAGGCCAGTTTGGAGCACATTAAGACCTACGTGGACGGAGAACATCCCTTTAAAATTTCAGCTTTCTAGTTTTTCTGAATCCCGAATTACCAACATAACTGCCAAAAATTTTGACGGGCTCGCACGTGGGAAACACGTGGGTAAGAGCGCCCATTTTGGGGATGGTGCTCGCACGTGT